AAATTCTGATTATGGGAGCGGTTAAGAGCATGAATTGAAATGAGTTTTAGTATTTACATGTTTGTGCCTGACATTTAAAGCAGAATGGGTAACAAAAACAGCGGCAAAGACATTTAGACGAATGTTTGTGCCCAGATTAAACCAAATATTAGTTGATCTTTAATAAGCCTCCATTTGGATTGAAATATTACTGTTTATTGAAAAGTTATCTCCTGTTCTGAATATCCTTTTCCACCAGAACGGGAAAAGAAGCTAATCAAATTTCAATATGATAGGAAAAGACGGCTCTGGAGACGCGGGTGTTATTCTCTTTAAATGATAAGTCGGGATTTCCTTCAAATGGTTAATTTGATCCTAAAACGTCTTGAATAAAAGATGATGGAATAAATACATAAATTTAAGGCGAGTATAAAATGAGCCTTCAAATAACAGCTTATGAAAGATATATTTTCAGCTAGAAATAACAAACCTGAGACAATTTTGAACCCTCGGAAGATCCAGCAATAATTTCCAGTCAAATTTGTAATGATCTATTTGTTGACAAAGGGCCTAACCCTTTTACCATATTTAAAAGGTCACAATGACGTTTACGGTATAGTTTTAGAAATGTAAAATTATAATCTATAAAACGAGGGACTTCGAAATTAGTCCCATTGATAAGACTTAGTACGTTCCAGACATCTGACTTTCTAGTACATCGCAATCGTGAAGATGGAAGTTGATGAACAATTATATAATCATGATTATCATTCAAAAATGGCATATTTTCAAGCATATTCAACCGTATCTTTAGTGATAAACCGCGAAGTTTGGTCCGTATATATAATTATGAAGAAGCAAGCAATATCTATGGTATATATATAGCCTGACGACAATAAGCAAGAGGGCCAGTTGATTTCTGCTGATTGGAGGGGAGGTGACATAAAATAGTCACACCAATATTTTCGAGCTGAATTTGGTCCCTGTCCATCCGCATCTGTAGATGGTGAGCTGCATACAAAAATGAAGTATCCACTAAAAGAACCATCCTTCATAATGTGATCGAAGAGGGGCGTGCCTCTTCCACTATTCAACATAATTTTGCAGTTCTAAGTCAAAATGTTTTCTAGTCTTGATATAGTATCACTCTGGCTTGTACGTGGTTTACTGGTTCACAATTAAGGAGGTACATCATCACCACTTGATCGCATCGCTGCATGATCAAGAGATCCACAAGCTAGTATATTTAAGTTTCCTTGAAAACCAGGACATACCTATCTCCTTCCCTATGGAAACGTCACTTAAAAATCCGATTATTTCTTAGTCGAAAGGTTATACAGAAAAATGATATTATCAAATCAAATCCCGTGTATTGGGATGACAGGTGAATATGGTGACCGTTTGTTATTTACCATTCGACGTAATTTGATTTCAGATCAAGTATTTACTCTTGATTTGCCTTTTTTAATAAGTGGATTATTGTTGTTGTTGCTGTTGATATGTCGGTATTATTGTTGATGATGTTGTTTTTGCTGTTGTTGTTGTTGTTGTTGATGATGTTGTTTTTCTTATTGTTGTTGATGATGATGGTGATGATGATGATGTTGATTGTTCCAAGCAGGGCTATAAACGATTTCAGAAAGGAAAAGGAAATTTCTAGCTTCTAGATATTTAGTGCAATGTATCCTCATTTTAATTAAAATGGTAAATGTTATCTATAAAAACAGCATCACATTTTCTACATTAATTTGTATGGTTTCTAGCACTTGTTTGTTCAAATTTCGAAGAGAATTCAAATTCAATTATTAAAACAAAAAGACACGCACAAGCTTGTTACTATGACTACCAATAAATAGTCCCATTAGCGATAGATTATGAAACCATAAAATACAGTTTAAGAAGCGACCTGCATGGTATTTGCCATTCCGCGTTTCGTGAATAAGTGATCTGTCGACAATGATAGAAGAAAATCAATGAATTACAAGACGGGTATGGTCGTTGTAAATGAGTAGGTCACCGAGAATCAATGTGCATGCCTATGTCAATAATTCAGGATATTATATTTATGTGTTTTCTTTAATTAGGGGCTGTGTATGCAATGCAAATGTGTACCACTATAATTATTTTCTCTGTCTTATGCAACTCCTTACACATGATTCAATGACTGAAGATAATACCTTGTGACCGTATACCTGAGGTGGTTTAATGAGAAGTTGAGCGGCTGCTTATCTTTGTAAAGGAAGAAATCGTTTATTTACAAACATATTATCAGCATTTCAATTATACCAGAGAGGCATATCTATGATGGTAAACACAATGATCATCTAGCCGATTCTAGCGTGTTCTCATATTTTTGGCAATGTTCCAAGTCTATATACCAAAGAAATAGTTTGAAGAAGGATGCCTCTTCCAGTCAGCCAACGTTTGTTTATTGCACGTAAAGAGTCAAAGAGGTCGAATATTAAACTCTTTATGACCCATTTCTGCACGTGCCTCTCTTCATAATCAATACTCCAACATAAATTAATGCGCTATTGCTGGATCCAAAGTATATTCGAGGAGATATTTGGTAATTTTTTAAGGATTTATATATATTTCTATCATGTTATCAAGGTAATTAGCATCAGGTATACAATATTGCATGTTTGTTCTGTTGAGCTGGGCTAATGATCCACATATTGCTTCACAATATTTCATAAATAGTTGTAGCTGATGTTGTCCAAACGTGTCACGTGTCAAGTATCATGTGGAGCAACAAACCAGTATAGACAAACACTTCAACGGTTATCATCTCTTTTTATGGCGACCATCGTGGGGTCTTAATCCCCATCATTAAGAGAAAGGAAAAACATGATTGATTACAATATGTAAAGATATGAAAACATTCAGGTTTTTACCATGAAAACTACTGTCTGCTTCCTTTGTTTCTCTCGATTTTGAGGGGAAAAGTAAACCTAAACTTTTCTGTATATTAAACTGGCAAAACAAGTAAAAACCTTCAACTCTTTGTCTTGTCTGTATATTAAAAAAAAGGCGTTTCTTTGTACGCATTTAAACTGGCAAAAGTCCAGATATATTTAGCACGAAAGATGGGATAAATGGCAACAAAGCGATGCAAATAGCTAAAACCTCCAATAATTGATCTTAAAAGTATTCTTTGTCTCATGCTAAATTTACCACGTGGTTGTGTAACTGTGTACAGTTACTGGGTAAACTAAAACCACATGTTTTTCTTCATTTCATTCATCAGGCGTGACCAAGCGTGGAGAACAGTTTGGGGTGCTCACGTTCTGAGAAGCATCGGATCGATAATTAACTGTCATTTTTAAACTGCAAAACATATATAGTATCGGGGAGTTGGAATGTATATATCTTTCTCTGAACAGTACTGGAAAATAAGTATTTTGGCATGGTATCAAAAAGGAAATAAGACATGTTTAAGATGGGTTCATACACAAAGGTGTTAATGGTCGATATTACGCTTGCTTATTACATAATCTATTTTCGTGAAAAGCGTTTCGGGCGTTTTTTTTATTACTGTCACGAGGTAATAAGTTGCATGACATATCATGATGCAAGACTTTGACACGCTTGCCGGATACGTGTTGAGCTGTTTTCTGTAATTACAACTTTTTTCGATGCTATCTTTCTAGTACATGACTAATGATGCATATTTTAAGAGATAGTTTTTGTTTAAATCGGGGTAATGACTTTTCTTTACCATTTATAAAGCATTACATTTCTTAACAGAAGTAAATATAGGAATTGTAAAAGAATAAACAACAATTATTGATGAAATATGTTTGTACATTATAGGTCTTCACTTAAGGGCCGAAGAAACGCATTTCAGATTATTATTTCAATATTATTTTTACTATGTACCCTTCATCGTCTGACAAGCTTTATTTGTCCAAAATGTTTTGTATGGCATCTTTACCCTTTTAGATAATGTGGAATTACAATATACAATAAAATATAGAGTTTTGTAACTACAACGCGGTGATCGATGGTCATGTGTCATTTCTTTAATTTATCTCGAAACTAGAGGTGATAGGCAGTGAACAAATATATGAGTACACATGTATTGCGGTATATAGATGAGAGAGAGAGAAAGAGAGAGAAAGAGAGAGAGAGAGAGAAGTGTATGAAATATGGAAATTGTACTTTTGTATTCAAGTAATATCCCAGAATGAATCGAAAAGGAAGGAGAGAGAGAGAGAGAGAGAGAGAGAGGAGGACAATGATCATTATCCATAAGATTAAAGTCAATAATAGATAGAGTTCAAATTTGTCTGTAGGGTGAGAAATGAATGATAGAGATGGAGAGAGAAAAGAGGAGATGGTGAGGGGGAATTATAAGCCTATTATCATTCATATTTAACGGATCTGAAGATGCTGAAGGCGAACGAAAAGATTTGGGTAACACCTGTTATGGCACTGTGCCAAATTGATGTGAATTTCATCATCACGTGCATTACGTCACCATCACTGAACTGTGATATTCGGCGTAACATTAGTAATCAAGTCAAACAATATTTCGCTCTCTTGTAGCAGCCTTTCCTCGGTTGACACGAGTATAAGCAGATAGTAAATCATACTTGTCTGAATTCCTTCTCAGCCATGCATTCTCGGTTTATTGGCGTACTGCACATTGCATTCTGATTTCTGAAGTACCATGAAGGAACGGCGCTGCCTGAAAGATCTCGAAATCGTTGGTAGATAGCAGACGACACACTGCTTTTTGTTTACTCTCGTTTGGTTGGTCTCGTGACCAGCCACTGAGCAACGCGAAACTTTTGACGTCAGAGTTTGGCGTGCCTCCATTCACCGACACAGTCACTCATGACGAATGATACACAAACACATACACTCAACACAATGACTCGCACACACACACCTTAGCACGTACAATATCGAACGGTTCTCTGTATGAATACAAAGCCAGCCAATTCTGAGTAATTCGCAGGCGCGGTACAATAAATACACTGGCACGAGCGTTGTTGAGTCAGAACTTCGCTTACTTTCAGTAGTAACAGAACTACTGAAAACTGCTCTAAGGATAAAATAATTTTGTTTGATATATCACAAGACTTGAAGGATATTATACCACTGTCTTCACCAAACTACATATTTTAGGTTTTCTTGACATTTTGCTGAATTGTTATCCATATTGCTGACTCAATTGTAAGTATACTTGATGTTGTATATATCTGTTTCTTTTTTTTTTAAATTGATTGTCATTATGTGTTTTATAGATTTTATCTTTACTCTTTACTGATTGATACAAGTTCAGCATTTTTGGTATATACTTCAGATATTGAACTGTATGTGAACTTCAAATATTTACCTTTTGAGTTTTCGTTGCTTATCAATTTTTTACTGTATATTTCCACTCAAGATTATTAATAGCTGTGTATGTATAATCATTAACTAATCAATCGTTATTTCTTTCTTTGTTTTCCAAATACAGGTAGTCTACAAAACTTCATCATCAGAATTGACTTTGGACCCTATAGCTTATCAGCTCTCGCCTTGATATCTGAAAGCAGACGACACCTGCGATCGTCAATCGTAGCATGCGCTCTCTGCCAAATTGCAGTGGTGCTCCAACTTCACTATCCAAGACATCCCTTCGCGATATCATCATGGACCCAACCCAGAATCTGATGACGGCATTGAAGTCGAATAGCTTCTCACGTATTCGATCAGCCATCAAAATGCCCTGCGTCGACTTCAACTACCGTGACGCCGAGATGGATTGCCGCACGCCGCTTATGAAGGTGTGTGCAGCGAGCGAGCCTTCCGCCACCGCCCGCCGTGACCTGGCCAAGCTCCTCCTCGCCAAGAACGTCGACGTCAACGTTGCGGATAAGAATGGGATGACGGCGCTTGCCATCGCCTGCGGTTGCGGGGACGTTGGAATGGCGAGGTTGCTCGCCGAGAACAGCGACATCGACCCCAACCTGGCTGACGTCGATGGGAACACACCTCTTATGCACGCTTGCCAAGCTGGACATCCCGAGGTCGTCACTGCACTCGTCACCATCTTCAAGAGATTTGGACTACGAGTTGACGAAACTAACGACCAAGGTAAGCTTAATTATATTCTCTATATTTTCCTTTTTGTTTAAATCTGTGTTAGGAGGAAATAATACCTACAATTTAGAAGACATGGAAAAAATAATGTGTTTGCACTTCCATACTGGAAATCTAGTAAGCTTTACATTGGAACTTGGGCATAGTATAATTGCTGATTCTCAAGTTCGGATGAATCACTGAAACTCAATCTCCCAATAATTAAGTCTGACACACCCATGTCGGATTTCAACTTCGTGAATTTCTTTCTACAAAGTAGGGTTTCTTTTACCAAATTCGGTCAATCGGAACAAACAGCACTGCCTTGAAAATTCCATTATCAAGTTTGCTTCCTGAACTAATGTTTACACTACGAACTTGAAAGCACAATAGTTTTTAGGCAAACATACTTGTGTGCAAGGACACCGAGTTGCAAAGATCATGCCTGGTTCGTGTAAAGTCCAAATATCAAACGGATGGATGATATCAAAAGATTTCACTTTGACGAATTAGTAGTTTGAGCTTGCAAAAAAAGGTCATCGTCAAATCTTACTTAATCGTAGATGGGAATTTAATCTGACCATGATTCTTTAGGGTTATCTTGTTGATTTAATGAACATGAAGAACCTGGGATATTAACCACAACGCTTCTGTTTTTATTTCCTGTGCAGGTGTCACACCACTGATGGAGGCAGCTCGTGCAGGAAACACTGCAATCTGTAGAGCCCTTGTACAAGAAGGTCGTGCAGATGTCAACATTCGTGAGTCAACGTCCCACTGCACAGCATTCGATTTCGCCATCGAAAGTGGGCGCTGTTCCACTCCCGAGCTCCTGCTACTATCACCGGTGGCACAGAGGAAGCTGAACGCCAGGCAGCATCGTGAGGCTTCAGGTCACAAGACTCTGAAGGAGGTGATCGAGAACTCCAACATGCATTGTCCAAGGAGTGAATGGCTGAAACCCACAAAACTATCGGTGGCTTCGAAATACGAGGCATACCCGCTTCCGATGGAATACGCACAACATGCAAACAGCATGGTTTTCCAGGTTAGCAAACGACTCCAGAGGTTGTCAGAAGATTCAGAGGGTGAGATAAAGGAGGAAGCAGAGATGGAGGAGGAGAGAAAACAAGCACCAATCAGGAGAAGGTATTCATTGCCATCAGCACGTCGTTGCGTGTATGGTGGTGGTCCCAACAAACTCCACAGGAACACACCTTTCCACAACCAGACAGCCTCCGGATCTCCAAGACTTGCCCGTGGCAAAGGCACCCCAGCCTGGCTCAAACTCCCGCCCGTTCCTGAGACAACTTCCCTGTCTCGCACTCCTTCCCCGTCCGAACGCATAGTAGAAGAACCGTCCACGGTCGCCACCACCGCCACCACCACTCTGTCCGAAAAGGTGTCGCCTTTAAACCCCAAGCCAAACAGCAGCTACTCCAGGGTGCGATCATTGAGTCCAACCAGGGGCCCGACGCTCAAATCAATCCGTGTCCTTCCTTCCAACGGCAGTGTCCAATCCAGGAGGGTTTCACACGAGCCTTCCATCGCCAGTATGTCCTCTCACAGGCGACCTACCCTAAGGATATCACACTCATGGGAAGGGAGACCATCAAATGCAGTGCCCTCATATTTATTCAGATGAGCAAAAAGACATTTTCTGAACTTTGAACACTAAAATGTGCTGCCACCCTTACCTTTATCAACACTATGATATGAGTGCAATTTGTGTATAACCGCCACATTTCCGTCACATTGTGAATAACGAGAATCATATTTGTGAATATCTTGTCGCTTTACATAACGATATCGTAAAAGATATGTTTCTGGGCGACGCGCTTTAAATATCGAAGGGACTTTACAAACTAAGAAACTATTCTCGTAATACCTCCCTGTGATGGTTAAGTACTATTGTGCAATGACATACGTTCGACAAAATTTACAGACTGAAATAAAATTTAAGATATTAAAATAATTTTAAACTGTTTATCAAATTCTTCTTTTGGAATCATGATAATATCAAAGTAGATTTTAGCGGTCTGTTTTGACAAGTGGCTTAACAATAAAGAAAATCAAACAGAAATAAATAATTCAAATCAATCAAATCAAATCAAAAAATCGAAGAAAAATGTAACTTTACAAATTGATATTTGAAGTTGTTGCTTATATAAATCCAATTAATCTATACTCTATTGATATAAAATGCCACGCACAAAGATTAATATATTTGTCTCACTGCTAAATCATAATTATTCATATTTATACCGCCTTTGTGCTTATTTCACTAACCGGCAATGCTGGGCACCAAATGATATACATTGTTACATTGTGTAAATTATTGAGAAAAGAAGAATTATATATTTATATCGCTTACAAACTGAAATTTCATGTTTCTGATATTATTTATTTGGAGTTTTGAAGATGTATGTGAAGCGTGATGGTCATAAATTAATGTTCCAATGTTGGTATGATGTTGATGTTTGAAAATGTATTTGAGTAGTTGGGTGAATGATTGATTGTTTTGATATATCGATTGATTTAATTAATGATTGATTGATTGATTGATTGATTGAGTGATTGAGTGAGTGATTGATTGATTGATTGAGTGATTGAGTGAGTGATTGAGTGATTGAGTGAGTGATTGATTGAGTGATTGAGTGATTGATTGATTGATTGATTGATTGTTAGATAGATAGATTGATTGATTGATTGATTGTTAGATAGATAGATTGATTGATTGATTGATTGGCTGACTGACTGACAGACAGACTGACTGGTTTGTTATATTCTTACATGATAATTACCAAAATATAACTCGATAAAAGAGAGCATGGGTGAAATGAAGAAGAACAAAAAAGGGAACCGAGAACAAGTCAAACGTTACGAGAAATTTAGTGCAGTGGTGAAAAGAAGAGAGAGAGAGAGAGAGAAAGAGAAAAGAAACAAAAAGCATCAAAGTTTAAATGAAAGTGGAGAGTGAAAACAAAACGAATAGAAAGAGAACTACATTTGTAGATAATAATTTAGGAAAGCAAGATATGATATAATGAGAGAGAGAGAGAGAATAGGGGAAGAGGGAGGTGGGTCATTCTCAAATGCATATAAACCCAACAACAAACTTTATTTTGAAGATGACCAAGCCCCGTCTTAATATAAAGGATAGATATCAATCGCAGCCATGTACATATGAGCTGGGGGACTGCGAACTTGGATCGATCGCAACTCTTTTTAAGACGGGGCCCAGATGGCCAACTGAGAAATCACAATTACAAGTGAATACACTTTTTAATGCAATGTCCAATAGGGATGAACCTGAACAATATTATTAATAATTACCGGCAAGTAAAACAAAAAAGAACAATGTTACCAAAATCATATTGAATGCACGTTAAATGAGGGATGTACTTCAAATCTACGACTTAGGCGTTACAGGCCTAGCAAAGAGATATGGATTAATTAATCCCCGCCTCCCCAAGTCCCCACTAAAAGTGGGTCTGCTATGAGAGGGCGCTATTTCACATATGTGAATGGTAAATAAAGTCTTGACAATCCCAATTTATTCTTGTGTAGACAAAGCATCATATTAAGATAATTTCAGAAGCAAAATGAAGAAGAATATATATTCGACCCCCTCGCTCTCTACCTCTCTCTTTCTTTCTCTCTCTCTCTCTTTCTCCCCTGACTGAATTTCCCACTCTATCTTTCATCCACATTCCTCTAATTCTCTCCCAATCATACCCCTTCCTTTCTCATTAGTACATCATAATTTTATTCATCATAATTTGTATGATACCCATTCTTTCCTTTTCCTTTTTTGTTTCTTTTACTTACGCTCATATCAAAATACTGTGTCTAAGCGAGTCTTTTCTTTTAACATTCCCACATACTCAACACACATTCAGAAAAGCTCTTTAATTAACTTATTTATGTTATGTTACGTTAAGTTTAACAGATTAGTCATCTCAAACAATACAGACTACCTGCACTTTTAAAGGATTAAAGGTATTACAAAGTTTTGGTAAATGTTGAAAATTGGCTGGATAGTGATTCTTTACAATTTTGATATATCTGGATGCCCCTTTCAGCACACGACACCATGTTTTTGTCTTATGTTTTATGTATTACATGTTACATGTTACACCAAAGGAGAAAAAAAAATCTGTATTATATTATGGACAATAAAATCTTGAATCTTGATTATAAGCACTAAAAATTTTAGCCCCTAAAACACTTCTGCTTTCGAGAAAAATTGAATATACAAATTTACCGGTGCTCCCGGTAAATGTAGATAAATTTCAAATAGCGCCTACGACCATACGATGGTAGCTGCGACCATGAAAATCTCAGAATATGTAGCTGTGATATATTCCAAACGGTATTAGCAAATCGGTCGATTTTATTCAAAGACCAGCCACTGAGCAACGCGAAACTTTGTACGTCAGAGTTTGGCGTGCCTCCATTCACCGACACTCACTCATGACGAATGATACACAAACACACATACACTCAACACAATAACTCGCACACACATACCCTTGCACGTACAATATCGAACGGTTCCCAGTATGAATACAAAGCCAGCCAATTCTGAGTAATTCGCAGACGCGATGCAATAAATACACTGGCACGAGCATAGTTGAGTCAGAACTTCGCTCACTTTCAGTAGCAGCAGACCTACCAGAAACTGCTCTAAAGATAAAATAATTTTGTTTGATATATCACAAGACTCGAAGGATATTATACCACCGTCTTCACCGAACTACATACTCTGATTTTTCCTGACATTTTACTGATTTTGTATCCATATTGCTGACTCAATTGTAAGTATACTTTACGTTTTTACTATTTGTTTCTTTTTTCTAAATTGATTGTCATTATGTGTTTTATATATATTATCTTTATTCTTTACTGATTGATACAAGTTCAGCATTTTTGGTATTCACTTCAGATATTGAACTGTATGTAAACTTCAAATATTTACCTTTTGAGTTTTGGTTGCTTATCAATTTTTTACTGTTTATTCCCACTCAAGATTATTAATAGCTATGTATGTATAATCATTAACTAATCATTTGTTATTTCTTTCTTTGTATTCTAAATACAGGTAGTCTGCAAAGTTTCATCATCAGAATTGACTTTGGACCCGATAGCTTATCAACTATCGCCTTGATATCTGAAAGCAGACGACACCTGTGATCGTCATTCGTAGCATGCGCTCTCTGCCAAATTGCAGTGGTGCTCCAACTTCACTATCCAAGACAACATCCCTTCGCGATATCATCATGGACCCAACCCAGAACCTGATGACGGCATTGAAGTCGAATAGCTTCTCACGTATTCGTTCAGCCATCAAAATGCCTTGCGTCGACTTCAACCACCGAGACGCCGAGATGGATTGCCGCACGCCGCTTATGAAGGTGTGTGCATCGAGCGAGCCATCCGCCACCGCCCGCCGTGACCTGGCCAAGCTCATTCTCGCCAAAAACGTCGACGTCAACGTTGCCGATAAGAATGGGATGACGGCTCTTGCCATCGCCTGCGGTTGCGGGGACGTTGGAATGGCGAGGTTGCTCGCCGAGAACAGTGACATCGACCCCAACCTGGCTGACGTCGATGGGAACACACCTCTTATGCACGCTTGCCGAGCTGGACATCCCGAGGTCGTCACTGCACTCGTCACCATCTTCAAGAGATTTGGACTACGAGTTGACGAAACTACCGACCAAGGTAAGCTTAATTAATATATTCTCTATATTTTCCTTTTTATTTGAATCTTTGTAGGAAGGAAAAATATCTACAACTTAGTAAACATGAAAAAGCAATGTACATTAGAACTTGAGCATACTTAGTATGTCTGTAGTAATTGCTGGTTCTCAAGTTCGGATGAATCGCTGAAACTCAATCGCTCAATAATTAAGTCTGTCACACCCATGTCAGATTTCAACTTCGTGAATTTCTTTCTATATAGTAGGGTTACTTTTACCAAATTCGATCTGGAACAAACAACACTGCCTTGAAAATTACATTATCAAGATTGCTTCCTGAATTAATGTTTACACTACGAACTTGAAAGCACAATAGTTTTTAGGCAAACATACTTGTGTGTGCAAGGACACCGAGTTGCAAAGATCATGCCTGGTTGATCACTTTGACGAATTAGTAGTTTAAGCTCGCACAAAAAGTTCATCGTCAAATCTTACTCAATCGTTGATGGGAATTTAATCTGACCATGATTCTTTGGGGTTATCTTGTTAATTTAATGAACATGAAGAACCTGGGATATTAACCACAACGCTTCTTATTTTATTTCTTGTGCAGGTGTCACACCACTGATGGAGGCTGCTCGTGCAGGAAACACTGCAATCTGTAGAGCCCTTGTACAAGAAGGTCGTGCAGATGTCAACATTCGTGAGTCAACGTCCCACTGCACAGCATTCGATTTCGCCATCGAAAGTGGGCGCTGTTCCACTCCTGAGCTCCTGCTACTATCACCGGTGGCACAGAGGAAGCTGAACGCCAGGCAGCATCGTGAGGCTTCAGGTCAAAAGACACTGAAGGAGGTGATCGAGAACTCCAACATGCATTGTCCAAGGAGCGAATGGCTGAAACCCACAAAACTATCGGTGGCTTTGAAATACGAGGCATACCCGCTTCCGATGGAATACGCACAACATGCAAACAGCATGGTTTTCCAGGTTAGCAAACGACTCCAGAGGTTGTCAGAAGATTCAGAGGGTGAGATAAAGGAGGAAGCAGAGATGGAGGAGGAGAGGAAACAAGCACCAATCAGGAGAAGGTATTCATTGCCATCAGCACGTCGTTGCGTGTATGGTGGTGGTCCCAACAAACTCCACAGGAACACACCTTTCCACAACCAGACAGCCTCCGGATCTCCAAGACTTGCCCGTGGTAAAGGCACCCCAGCCTGGCTCAAACTCCCGCCCGTTCCTGAGACAACTTCCCTGTCTCGCACTCCTTCCCCGTCCGAACGCATAGTAGAAGAACCGTCCACGGTCGCCACCACCACTCTGTCCGAAAAGGTGTCGCCTTTAAGCCCCAAGCCAAACAGCAGCTACTCCAGGGTGCGATCATTGAGTCCAACCAGAGGCCCGACGCTCAAATCAATCCGTGTCCTTCCTTCCAACGGCAGTGTCCAATCCAGGAGGGTTTCACACGAGCCTTCCATCGCCAGTATGTCCTCTCACAGGCGACCTACCCTAAGGATATCACACTCATGGGAAGGGAGACCATCAAATGCAGTGCCCTCATATTTATTCAGATGAGCAACAAGACATTTCTGAACTTTGAACACTAAAATGTGCTGCCACCCTTACCTTTATCAATACTATGATTCGAGTGCAATTTGTGTATTACCGCATTTCCGTCACATTGTGAATAACGAGAATCATATTTGTGTATTTCTTGTCACTTTACATAACGATATCGTAAGAGATATATGTTTCTGGGCGACGCGCTTTAAATATCGAAGGGACTTTACAAACTAAGAAACTATTCTCGTAATACCTCCCTGTGATGGTTAAGTACTATTGTGCAATAACATACGTTCGACAAAATTTACAGACTGAAATAAAATTTAAGATATTAAAATAATTTAAAACTATTTATCATATTCTTCTTTTGGAATCATGATAATATCAAAGTAGATTTTAGCGGTCTGTTTTGACAAGTGGCTTAACAATAAAGAAAATCAAACAGAAATAAATAAATCAAATCAATCAAATCAAATCAAATCAAGTCAAATAATCGAAGAAAAATGTAACTTTACAAATTGATATTTGAAGTTGTTGCTTATATAAATCCAATTAATCTGTACTCTATTGATATAAAATGCCACGCACAAAGATTAATTTATATGTCTCACTGCTAAATCATAATTATTCATATTTATACCGTCTTTGTGCTTATTTCACTAACCGGCAATGCTGGGCACCAAATGATATACATTGTCATATTGTGTAAATTATTGAGAAAAGAAGAATTATATTTATATCGCTTACAAACTGAAATTTCATGTTTCTAATATTATTCATTTGGAGTTTTGAAGATGAATGTGAAGCGTGATGGTCATAAATTAATGATTCAATGTTGGCCTGATGTTGATGTTTGAATATGTATTTGAGTAGTTGGGTGAATGATTGATTGTTTTGATATATCGATTGATTTGATTAATGATTGATTGATTGATTGATTGAGTGATTGAGTGAGTGATTGATTGATTGATTGATTGAGTGAGTGATTGAGTGAGTGATTGATTGACTGATTGATTGATTGAGTGATTGAGTGAGTGATTGATTGATTGACTGACTGAGTGAATGAATTGTATATTTCTTACATGATAGTCTCCAAAATCTTGAACTCGATGATTAAAAAGAGACATGAGTGAAATGAAGAAAAAAGAGGGAACCGAGAACAAGTAAAACGGTACAAGAAATATAGTGCAATGGTAAAGAAGAGAGAGAGAGAGAGAGAGAGAGAGAGAGAGAGAGAGAGAAAAGAAACATAGAGCAAGAAAGTGTAAATGAAAGTGGAGAGTGAGAATAAAAAGAATAGAAAGAGAACTAAATCATAAATTAGGAGAGCAAGAGATAAGAGAATGAGAGAGAAAGAGAGAGATAGAGATAAAATAAAAAGGGGAAGAGGGAGGTGTGTCCTTCTCAAATGCATATAAACCCAACAACAAACGTTATCACATTTGAAGATGACTAAGGCCCCGTCTTATAAAGTGTAGATATCAATCACAAACATGTACATAAGACATAGGGGACTGCGAACTAGCGATTGATAAGAGGACTTGCGATTGATTTGGATCAATCGCAACTCTTTTTAAGACGGGGCTCAGATAGCCATCTGAGAAATCACTATTACCAGCGAAATACACTTTTTAATGCAATGTCAAATAGGGATAAACCTGAACAATATTATCATAAATTGCCTTTGGTAATAACTACTGGCCAGTAAAAAAATATGAATTCTACCAAAATCATATTGAATACACGTTTGATGAGGGGTGTACTTCAAATATACGAACTAGGCGTTACTATAGGTCTATCAAAGATATTTGGATTCATCAATGGATGGATCCCCGCCTCCACAAGTTCCAACTAAAGTTGTTCTGCTATGAGAGGGCGCTATTTCAGATATGTGAATGGTAAATATTGGACAACTCCAATTTATTGCTTGTGTAGGCAAAGCATTAACTAAGATCATTTCAGAAGCAAAGTGGAAAATATATATATATAGTTACCTTCTACGACCCCCCCCCCACCCCCCTTCTCTCTCTCTCTCTCTCTCTACCTCTATCTTTCTCTTTCTTTCTCCCCTAATTGAATTTCTCACTTTCATCTTTCATCCACATTCCTCTTTTCTCTCCCAGTCATACAACCCCTCCCTTCCCCATTAGTACATTATATTTATCCAAATGTTATGATACTCATTCTTTCCTTTTCATTTTCTGCTTCTTTTAATTATTATCAAATCAAAATACTGTGTCTAAGCGAGTCATCTCTTTTTAACATTCCCACGTACTCGATACACATTCAGAAAAGCTCTTTGATTAACTTATTTATGTTATGTTAAGTTTTTCGGATTAGTCATCTCAAACAAGACAACTTGCACTCTTACACCCTAAGAAGACTAAAGAGGAAAACCCCGGACAATCAAAGTCGTAAAATCAAATGAAAATCCATTGAACAGCTTAGTAGTTATGGTCCTCATTTGAATACAACTGTGTAACCATGTACTTAATGTGTATATAAATATCCATGTAAACCCATGAAACGCTCACTTCGCCTGACGAGAATAATACGAAAGAGCTTGTGAAGTTCAATCCATGCTTCTTGACGTTGTGAATAATATTTTTTCTATTACGTTATAATCACCCCTAAACAGTTAGGGATTCTGGATTTTAAGAAAGTACAATAGCTTAACCCTATTCTTACACGCTATACTCTTGAATTATATTAAACCGAGACCCAAGAGTTTGATTATTGAACGACATATAAAGCTCAACGCAAGAGGACGCTCTTTCAGTTTAAGAAGCATGAAGGATGAATTTTCTGTAAATCAATTGCATCGTTCGTTGTTGCTGATTATGTAGTGTACTGTACGGTAAGTAAGAGTAATCCACATAATATTCAATGTTTGATTCACCTTTATTTATTTCTGACAAAATACGGTACAATGTGTTTGACAACAGAAATCATTAGAATAAACATTACTACATTGCAAAGGAGGAGATGAATTACCGCGGGGATTGTTTTGCAAAAGCAGGGAACAATGGTTATTGTAGGATCATAGACATTTTTAAAAAACATTTAAAACTTTTTTGTACACATTCTTTTTTATAATGTAATGTCATTTCATTGTTGTTTAATACACAATATCAATCTAAAAGAAACAACAAACATAAACAGAAGGCGACACATATTACGACACTAATACATCGTAGTATTCTTGAAATTCACACACTCATAGAAATAATTATTATTTATGATTTACTATTCAATAGTAATGATGACTAAGAGTAGCGGAAAGTGCGTACATCAACAATAAAGGAGCATATTAATAACAACTGCCATCACATCATGGATATAGCTTTTTATTCGCTAATTTCGGAAACATTGTGGGGTGTTTGAGTAAATCCTATGTGTATTGTTTATTTATTTTAAGATCACATCAAAATTAATACAAAAATACAATTTTAAGAACGCAAGATAAATATCTCTATATTAACCACTTTGGACTTATTTACATTTGGTATAATTTTAAAATATGATGACGTTTTGACTGACGATACCAATCTGATTTTTCAAGTTAATTGTGCTCACTAAGTAAATCATGAAAAATTAAAAAAGTGTTTCTCTGTATTTAAGCCCACAGCTTATATGAACAAAACAGCAGTAATGCAGATGTGCCATATTTAACCTGCTGATAATGTATAACAGAATACATGTAATTGTAATTCTCTTTAATTCGATTGTCATCCTAACGAGATAAGCCAAGGTTATAAAACCGGCTACAACAGCCCACGAGGCCGACACCCACGATACCGGTGATCAATGTCGATTTCATGCTGGGCCTACATAAAGGTTATCTGGGAGTTAAAGAGACGACGGCCCACGAGACCAACATGTCGGTCTCCCGTGTCTTCTGACAACTACTATGAGGGTTCATGAGACCGCCATTGGCGTTCATTGTTGACATTCGGTCTCGTGATATTTTGGTCTGGTGGGACGTCTCGGATTAACCAAACATCATAGGCTTGCCTACAACTTACTATTAGGACGATCTTCAACACATTGGAGACAATTTTATTATAAAAATAAAGCGTATTTCACAATGTTCCAGATTCTATAGTTCTCTCTTGCTGAGGGTATCCAATGGGTTTAACATGAATACAACACTAAACTAAGCTTTTATTGCAATATCCCCGGTCCTCACTGCCCTGAAGCAAACACGATCCGCAGTGATACAAAATGGCACTTCTACAACCGTGTGACAGCTTTTAAAGAGACGTCAATCCAACAAGCTCTGTGATATAGTCCCGGATACAGTGTGAGTCAAAAAAAAGTTTACACCTAGAAAATTGCTAATTATTTAAAAAATCATCGATGAACATTAAATTTTTATATGTCTTATGAAAGAGTGTTTTATCCTAAATCATTTGGTATCATTTTTGTGTGGTATGTGTTCATGCTTGGGTGAACAGGAGACATTGTTTGCGAGAGTGCAAATATCGACTTGCGCCGAAGTTGCCTATGTGATGTTAAAATAAAACAATTGGGATTCGGGTATTAATGCGGTCTTTGCAGATCCAAACAACATCCCTAACAAAAAAACATGTGCAATGCATTTCATTTGATACATTCAATCCATTCTCTCACTCCGCTAATCCCAACATAATACATACGTGAATACATACCACACAAAAATGGTACTAAATGATTTGGGATAAAACACTCTTTCATATTACAGATGTATAATAATTTACTGTTCATAGATGATTTTAAAAATAATTAGCAATTTTCTAGTTGTAAACTTTTTTGACTCACACGGTATAGGCTATTAAGCTAATAAACCGGCCGACTAATATTTTATTCAACTTTTTAAACAAACTTGACAGCCTGAAAGCTTGCCCAACGATTGCCCGACATGTATTCCTAGTATTTTATTAATAACATGTCACTAGGTTCCCAGTCAAAAAATTCATACATTTTAATATGTTAGTAAACCGGTCTATTGTCAACCAGGCCTGAGTAGCCCGCTCAAATCCGTAGATAAAGCCCCTCTAAAGTATTGGGAGCCCCACAAATTTGATGGCAAAAAATTCACTTAAGTTGTATCATAATATAAAATAGGATGTCATTTAAAATACAAAATTCATGTTTACTGCGAGAACCTAAATTTTGTATTCTTTCATCATTATTCGACTTTAAACACACTATTTAGGGGGGAATCTTTCCAGAAGTGTATCTTAAATGACGTCCTCTTTCACATTATGATACAATGTAAATGAAATTATGCCAGCTTAACATTTTTGGCGAATTTGGGGCAAAGCAACGAGATAAATATTAAAAACAGAACAAATGATCAATCTAGAATCACCGATTGTAGACTATATTGGGTTTCGCAATAACGAGATCCTAGTGTAACAGAATTATGTGAGAGAGTGAAGCGACTGATTTTTAGCAAAAGATTTCATTGTAAACCCACACAAAATTTTATATCTGATGCAATTTACCTAACGTATTGGGAGCGCATATAATCCTTATTATCTTAATAATCTTGTCTTCCCTTTCTCCCCTTTCCTTTCTTTTTGTTTTTCTTTGTGTTTTGAACCTGTAGTTTTTTTTTGCGGATTTTGTTCATCTCCTCTAAAGGTCTCCCGGGGCACGTACCACCTCTGCCCCCTGCAGTCACTGCCGCCACTGTCTTCCATACTTTTGGCAGTTTATAAGGGACAAAACCTACACAATCATATTGTGAGGTCATCGCGTGCATTCACTTCAACCTATAGGAAAAACCCTCTCACACATTTACGCGCATTGACCTACGTAATAATGTATACACATCACCAATGCGTTCGAATAGAAACTTTTGACCAATCAGGAACGCGTTACTAAAATCCTACTCCCAAAATCATACGTAACAATGAAATGCGCAAGTTTTGTGTTTACATTAGTAACGCATTACCTACAATAGATTCATTCTTTATGAATTCCCCTTGCATTAAAGACGTTTGCTCTGCTCCTGTCTTTATATCTCAAAGAGAAATGGCTCGCCGATCTTCTCGTAAGCGACGATTTTTCGCCCGACTTCGAAAGAGAATGGGAAAGAGTATGAGGAGACTGTGTTGTCTCTTGTCAGGTAGAAATATTTTTCTAAAGCTCCCCCAATGGTCATATAACCTTATTACACACATAAACACAGTATTGACATTTTAAAAGTGTCTTAATGTAAATCAGATTTATTGTTTCTGTAGTTACCAAACTCCAAAGCTTCGTCGAGCACGACCCGAAAATAGGGTGGCACTCTTTTGACCGCCATTCACTGTTCAGCTTTGTTCTATCATTATTTTCTATGGCAAATTTGAAAATTACGATTTTATATTTGGGTGGTATTTATTTAATTACAGCCACCGAGGATGACAGTACTGCCAACCGAAGTAATGTTTTGACAGCAGAAGCCCTCAAAATGGTAAGAATTCTATTAAAACCCAATTCTTCAATATTCGTAAAAGTTCTATTCAACCAAGACAATCATAGTTGGAATTAAATCATTCTTTTGCTCTCACGCGCCTTTCATTCTCCTGCTTTAATTAGATTTTCATTTTAATCTTTTTTCTCCGAATATACAATATTCTCTCTCCGTATTGGTTTGTCCGCCTCTCTGTGTGCAATTTTAAAGCTATTACACAATATTCAGCTCTCATCTCATATAATTCTTTTTCTTTGTTCAAACACAGTTCCACTCTACTACATGTAATATCAACGATACATTCAGTGACTCGACATCACTGTGGAGTTCGGAAGAGGGCTTCCCAAGCATCACGTATTACCCAATCATCGCTTCAAAGCAAAACGACAGCGATAACAACGACGTCGACGATGATAACGATGACGGAACAAGTATTGCATCCAACTGCTGTCAGCTCCATAACGAAGTCTTGATCGAGATTCATCATGAAGATGATAACGATTCACTGTTATCTGACACTACTTCTAGTTTGATCAGATTCATGGACGAAATGGACAATGATAGTTTCACGGACGTGTCCAGCATTACAACTGACAATGAAGATGATAACGACACGTTTACGACAGTCACCGATTTGACATACTACACCCATGATCTTTTCGATGACGACAGCAGTGACGTCATACTTGATCTCTCCCTCACCAAAGATGAATACGAACTTATCAATGGTAGAGACCAAACAATCGAAAGTGATTTTATCATTGCAACAACTTTTCTAGATGAAATCATTTCTGAGGTCGCCTTCAAACTGGATTCTAACAATTGAACCTCCGATATATTTTTGTTTAAAAAATGACAAATACTTAATTATATCCTTGTAAATAAATATGGATATGCTATACTCAAATTGAAACTACCTTTGTGTTGTTGTGTGTTTGTATGTGTGAAAACTTGTGAAAAAAATAAGAGTAGAAAACCATTCAAACTCAACTATGTGTTTGATGTCGCTGTCCAATGTTGTTTTGCTGAACAGGTTGTAGTTGACGCTTCGATCTGTGCTCCTTTGTTGAGGGTCGAATACTGATATAAGTATAGACAATTTATTGTTCAGGTACAACCAGCAACAAACATGACAATATCATCACCAAAGACCAACTTTACAGTGTGTTTCCAATTAGATTACAAAAGACTTCACGTAGCCTATGTCATAATTCCAAAAGAGTACACTGCGATTGTCCGATTTCTAGACTTGATGGTTTTTATTTTAAAGTAATCAGCATTCGATTTGGATAATGAAAGATCTGAAATGCGTTGCGTAATTATTTCCAAAGTGTGTTCAAAGCTTTAGAATGCCTTTTTCTCGAAATATATACACCGTCAGTCCGCTCACCCATTCGCGTTCTTGGGCTGGGCACACGAGGAATTGCTTCATTTCTTTTTCTTCTTCCCCGATTTCCTTTTAGCCGATCCTTTTTTCGATTTGGATGATTTGGATGATTTGGCTGATTTTGATGATCTTGCTGATTTGGATGACATTCCTCGTCCTTTCTTATCCGTGCTAGGCGGGAGTTTGGACGCCACATATTCCACTCGTTCACCCTGGCACTTTTTCTATGGATAACAAAAACATTAAAACAAGATAATAATAATAATAATAATAATACATGAGATTTATATAACGCCATTATCCATCTTAATTAAATGCTCAAGGCGCTTCAAAATATTATTAGGGAACACATTACATTACATAAATGCGACTGTATCCTTTATATTATACTTCCGCCCTCAATCAGTGTAGGAAATGGATGGAATTATTCATGACATATTACGATAAAAACAAAAAGCCTAGAATAAAATGTCAACTGATGACTATGATCTTGACCTTCTTGCCCCAAAGACTATCACCATATTGCGACAGAAATTGAGCTCTGTGCCCTTTGACCTACTAATGAGACTGTCTTCCTATGTTGATACAAATACATTTATCAAGTTTGAGGTTAATATCTCCAATGGTTTTTACGATATCGCGATCAGAAGGAAAACACCTGATTTTGTAAAAATTGACCTCCGTGTCCTTTTCCCCTTGATCTACTATCTCAAAATCTACTGAGATTGTCTCCCAATGATGATACATACTATCACCAAGTGTGAACCCCATATCTCTAGTGGTTCGTGAGATATCGCAAATAGCAAGGCTAAAACTTGTAATATCAGAAATTTACCTCTAGGCTCCTCTAGGCTCTATGACATTTGACCATTTACCTACTTATTAAAAAATCTGCTAAGATGGTCTCCCAATGATGATACATTATTACTATCACCAAATTTGAATCCCATATCTCTAGCGGTTCTTGAGATATTGCGATAACAAGGCTAATAAATATAATTTCTTTCGTACCATTCCTTTCATATTTGGTATAAAATTTCAGGCATCGGTTTTCAGAATTACAGAATGGTGGATCACATTTCATTGAATTCGGCATAGATTAATAAGAGATGAATGTAGTTCAGTATAAATGTTTATTAATGTTTTCGTTTTCAATGCTCCTTTTAATCACACGACTTTGTCCGCACTAAAATCGTTATTGAAAAATATTTGTAAGGGAGGAAATGTCATAACAGAAATATAAGCAGCAAAAAGTAAATAATCATCCACAGAATCAACAGGTGGTTCATAGTTTATACCTGATTGCACTTCCGACATCGGGCCGGCTCTGGCATGACCCCCGTGAATTCCCCTCGGAGACATGCCCGACAGTATCGTGTGCCGCACCATTTACACATGTATGTCTGCAGTAATGAGAATCAAGAAAGATAAATCAATAAGCTTTAGGGGAACATACACATAGATTAAACAAATATGACGGGAGAAGATGAGAAGGAGATGGGTTATGAAAAAGAAAAATATAAAACAAGGTTGACAGAAATATTAAAAGAAGAGAATCATAGACCAATTTGTATGGATTCAAAGAAAGCGAAATGAAATAAGGCAAAAAAAAAATGAAGAGTGACAAGGAAGAAACAAAAACAACTATAATTTTCAAAAATGTTCATCAATTTTTTTTTCCGTAGATCTTTCTAAATTCTAAACCTCACCGTGCTTATGGAATGCATGCCCTGTTTACATTAATGTTGACATGTTTGACAGGATCGTTATAGCATTTATTGATGTTTTTTTCTTCAAACAACAATTAAGCAAGTGTTATCGTGTTGGAGGTACTTGAAATTAACGAATACTAGAAATAAAGATATACTGAATTCCAAGGCCTTTAATTCAAGGATTCCAGCAAGAAATTTAAGGGCAAATCCAATCTTTTAGATCTATGCATGGTTAATTCCCTACTTGCAAAACTCTTCAACAGAGTTATTGCTTTGTATTTACAATCGGTTTAAAACACTTGCCCCCATTCAATACGAAACTCGGGGGCGTTTTTCTTTATCAACAAATCTATTATTTATTCCTTCTTGACAAAATAAGACGGAGGGGGGTCCATGCAGCACAACAAATACTTGAGAGATCTTTTTAAAATCCGATTATTTTCCATGGCAAATCAACAAAAGCGTGATGTGAGATTGTAATCTTGTATTCTCTGATACATACTTATCTTGTTTTACATACATAGTTTTATCTTGAATCAATGTCCACAGTGATCGTCTTCTAACTATACTCATGTAAAATGTAACACTGTGACACCCCCCCCCCCCCCACCCCTCTCCTGAAATTATTTGTCAGTATATCAAATACGTTAGATCATTATGAATTTAACATATTTTTTTGACAAATACTTTTAACGTGCAAAATGCTTTTATTATGGACGTTTTCTAACATCGTGTAGTTATCAGTTCTCAAGAGAGCAAGAGAGAGGGGGGCGGGCTGTCTGTATGCACCTGCATGGTGTAGCCTGAAGCACCCTCTAACCAATAATGTATAGCGTAAAGTACCTCATTGTGCTTTATTTGTTATACTTGGTGAAAAATGAAAAATCAGACAAGAGTACGATAATAGCAGGCCTCAAGTAAGATCACTTCTTATGTGGGAATGTTCCCCCCCCCCCCTCCTCCGGATATATGGGTATAATTATGGTTTAAACAAACAATTTCAGTAGGATATGATTAAAATGTATTAATGTACTCAGATTTACAGTGTTTTGAAACATTGAACCACTTCGCCCTCCCAATCAATACATGTGCGTGGTGAGACCTTATGATCTACAAGGATAACGAGTTTGAATACATGGTATGTGAAGAACGACAAAAGAGAATTTCTTACCGTATCTACCGTAGGGCATCCCCAGCGACACATGATTCCGTTCCTGTTCTTTCTGCTAAGTCCGGTATTCAATTCAATACTTCATGATCCTAATGAGGAGCATTTCACTCAATTTTCGGCTGAGATATAATACTTTGCCAACTTCGGTATTTAGTTGATGCTTCTGTCTAAGTATTTAATCCTAAATTTAAGACAGCTCCATAGCAGTTTGGAAGCATTGATTTATGGCAGACTTATAGTTTTGATCTGAATACGAGTTAAGAAATTTTACTTAGCTAAGCCAACTGCTAAGTAAAATTATCGAATTGAATACCGACCGATGTAATCTGCTTCATGTAAATCAGCCCCAGACACTCATCATCATGCTGGGTATAAAACCATGGTACATGATTGCATTTCGAGATCGAGCAACTTCTTGAACTTGCGAGCAAAGAGTACAGTTCTATTCTGCCCTCAACAGACACGAAACTATTACTTGGTAATACACCATTGAATGATCAATGTTGATGACGTTTAGTATGCCACTAACGCTGTGAGACACAAGAGCTTGGGCCCAGGTCAAATGTAAAAAGTTCAAAAACGTCTGATCCCTGAACCAACTGAATAAATCGTCTACGATGAATGTATATCATCGAAAATTCTCCGCATGCCATTATATTAAAGCGTCTGCTGTTGCTACGCACCGCTAAGTTCGAGAGTGTATTTTACTGTGCCGAGAGCGAGAGAGAGAGAGTCAATTATTGATATACCGGCTAGCTTTGCTCAAAGGATTATCGTTTGGTTGTGAACAAATCGATCGCAGTGGTCCATTGATTCTGTTATTTATTTTCCCTGTGTGGCAATTATGCTCAAAGGTTAATGGGTAATTTCCCCCAGAGCCTCATTTGTCAAATCATTAAAAAAATTAAAAAAATAAAAATAAAGTTGAATGAAGCATTGTGATTAAATAAGTAATTTAAAAGGATACCATAACATATATCTATGACACGTCATGCATAATGGTGTGTTCAGATTTTTAAAAAGATACTCATGTTATTATGCCTATCCTCGACCCCCTCGAACCTCCCCCCCCCCCCTCCCCGAAATAGACAACAGAACATTGTCATGAGGTCTAACTTCCCTGTAATTATGTACTCTGAAATAAAAAATAAAAAATATTTGCACCTATATATTATTTCAATTTCTCTACTTATGCTTCATAATAATTCATTAGAAATTAAATGATATTTTCCTTGGTTAAAGACAAATACAAAAATTGGGGCATGGAAATCAAACGCCGTGATGTGAACGATGTAAAGTATAAATACTTGTAACGGTTGTATAGTGTGTCCTACGCTACGGAGTATATATGTCTCTGATTAGTTTGAATATAATATTTGTTCTCTTGTCTAGGGTTGTTAAAACAAATATTGACAATTACATTTTGAGAGCAAAGGACAGACTCATATTTGCCAACAAATACAAATAAGACATGACGTTTATGAAGTTTTACTTTCAGTTTTAATAGGATGAATGCCTACATAAAATCAATTTTCAATAGCAAGAAGATAATGAATACATTTTCTGACAAAACAGTTTAAAAATGGATTGATATGATAATAATAATAATAAAAGTAGTACATTGAAAAAATATTTAATAATTTCCATCTGACAAAAAAACAACAGTATTCTAAGAGACAAGGACCATGGTGCTATTCAAATGGAGAAGATTTGAACAACGGTAAATATAAACAAAATGGGAGCACTATTAGACTTTATAAAAAAAAAAAAGGTAATCCCGAGTAGGTCTACTTAACTAGACAAAAAAAATCTATGCATATGCAAGGCTATACATTCCCCCTAGAGGAAAAGTATAATGCCCAGTATTCTCGATGATGATTTCCATTGTGTAACTGACCAAAGAGTCTTAATGATCAATATCTTGTCTTTTGAATGTCCTCCGATCATTTGATAATAAGACCCCAAACAGTCATCGATTGTATGGCTCTTAACCAAGAGGCATAGCTCATTTAAGGTTTCGAGGTCAGGGGATCTAACTGACTGAATTTCAATCGGGGGAGGGGGAGGCTAGTCCATTTTGAACGAGGTAGGGGGGTGTCCAACCAGATTTGCGCACAAAATTGTTGTCAGCTTTTCAAAATTACCGAAAAGAAAATAAGAAAGCTTGCTGACAGGAGTTATGAAAATGTCCCGACTAGCATTTTTTTAAACTGAAGGTTTGTTCAAAAATTGCAATTTGTATATTAGGAGTCAAATTGGAGTAGGTACAGTTGGTATAATTATTATTTGGTGTAATTTGTGGTCTACTCATCACCCCCTCCCAAAAGAAATAGAGAATGTTAGAGTGTGTTCAACATTTGGTGTTTACATGTATAAATCCAACTTAAGAAATGACAGGGCGTCTGTTCCTACTGTGCATGAGAAAAGATAAATCAATTTCAGTCTATACAAATGCTTATACAGGAAAAACAAAATCGAAATATTTGCTATTTGTCAATTATGGACCAATACAATACAATGAACTGCTCATGAATTACGATTTTCAACTTAAGTAAAATGTTTGAAGGACATTTCCCTCATCATTCACAGTTGATCAGTTGATGGGTAGATTTTAAATATGTTACAATATGTTGTACAATTTTAGCATGATATCTGCATTTATTCTGAATTGGGTTTCAAAAATTGTTTATCAAGAAGATTTAGTCCATATTTAGCGCAATAAAGTAGGGTAATATAAGTAATATTACAGTATTTAGGATCGTCATTAAAGTTTTATTTCATAATTGGTAAATACAAATTAAACATATTTTAACGGTAACAAAAATTAATGAAATGAAATGAAAATAACAAACAAGATTGGTTTAGCGATAAACATTCTGTCAACTTCTTTAACACAACAAAAAAAAAACATATGTTTGCAGCAATAATTTTCACACAATATATTCTATTTCTTAAACTTAAATAATCATCAACCTCTCTGTTCATACTAACTTCTATTCTTAAAACTGAAAAATCAAGGAAGATCCTCCCTCAGAACACTTTTGAAAGATGGGACCTAGTAGCGCCTGGTTCTTTTCCAGCAAGGGGAGCTTCCGTAGCCACACTTCTCACAGAGACTACTCTCATGAGGAGGTCCTCCATACTCATCATCATCATCTCGATAGGAACTACGACGCTTCACAGATCTATTATTGTTCCGATACTTCTTCTCCCTGTGATACAAGATGAAATATTATCATCATTGCTAATATATTTAAACTCGTTAATGGTGACACTTTCATGATTGCATCTGTCATCAACATTGACAATGGTTCGATATGATATATCATTGTGTAAATGCATGGTATAATGATACGAGATTAAATAATGAGAGGTGAGCCATGTAGATCAATAAGTTAATATTTATCACAAAATTGCGCTGGCATCGGGGGATGGTGGATCATCATCAGTCTTTCTCGATTAATCAAATGCGAATGTAAAAGGTCAAAGATTACGGGAGACGGTGCGAGAGGGGGGTCTTATCACCTTCTTTACTCGTCATTTCCCCTCCCACTTTCATTTTTTAGTTTTCCTTTCAAGGGCATGTACACCCCCTCCTGTATCTACACCACTGCTAACGACTACTGATGTACAATTCACCTTTAAGACAATGAAAGGGTCATCAGATTTAAGCTTATCAACACTAGTGTGGCTAGGAGGGATTATACCACACAGCGAGGTCACTGACAGGTGGCTATCTCACCAACTCAGCTCTCAAATTACATAAGAAATAGAGGATCATGGGGACCAACAGGCACCGATTGGGAAAGTTTTCTATATAGAGGGAGCAAGTAGCTACAAGTAGGACAGTGGGGCTTTAATGTATCTATGATTTAAAATCAAAGAAAGGGGTTGCTGGGGCAAAAGGGTGTGCGAGTGTGCCCCCATTTCATGCACATTTGACTGTTTATGGTGCTTTTTACTTACTGCTCAAGAGCTTTTTCCACCATCTCCCGAAACACAGAATCCTCAAAGCTGGGTGCATTCTCGTGTTGACATGTCTTGCACTTCTGGTTATAGATCTATATTTGAAGAAGAAAATTCGATCAGCATTTTTGGTTACATATTCGGCCATAAAAATAACTTGCCCCACTCTTTGTTAGATTGTTGTGATACAATACAGCACGCATATTCAACAAGACAAAAAGGAGGTCGACATAATTATTATACATCTACCAATATTTAGGACTATATATATAACCAGTGACAGCTTTCTTTTTTTCCTTCTTTTTAAGGTGATGTATCAAATTGAAAATATCCTGAAACAGTTTCAGGAATTCACTTAAAGGGAGTGTAGCCTGACGAGACTACGTGTTATTTTGATGTATGCCTAAATAATCTATGCTGAACATTGATTTTGTGTTTCCAATACTTCCCTCCTAATTCAGTGTCCTACACGATTTGACCAACGTAATTAGCTTTGGAGAGAAAGGAACAAAGAAGAAAAGAAGAAGGGAAAGTTGACATACTATTCAGATGCTTTTGGAGTGATAAATCTAACAGTGAAAGTGGGTACATTTTTCTCGAGTTGTGTGACATTGGACAGAGGACAGGGACAGAACTAATTGTGCCTCCTAAAATCACCCTGAATATGATTTAAACTAACCTTTTTTCACCCTTTCCATTCGATAAAATTCTAGATATCTTACCCTGACTACCTTCTGTCTCTTAAGATCAATAACAGCATGGGCTTGATGAGTGTTCCAGGTCCCTTCACAATCAGGTTTGGAACACGCGATCCGGGAGAAACCTCGCACCCCTTGCCGGGAGCTTCTCTCTTTAATGTTGTTCTTCGTGATATTCTTATCAGCCATGACACTCTTAATGATGGCAGTGGTGTCCATGTCGGGTCGAGGATATTACTACAAAATTTCAGGGATGATATTGAATTGTACATGTAATTGTTAAACCATACAGTTGAAGTAGTTTATACGATTGATTATTGGAATCTGGAGAATACCAGTAGATGGATAACACTAATTCATAAACTTATGCCCGGACCGGTTGCAGATCTTGCATTTAGAAGGCGTCCTGCGAGAGTGTCGAAATGAATCAGTAACATTTTCAGTTAATTTCACCAATTTCTCTCTGGCGATGTTGTTACAAAACAGTGTCCTCTTATTGTTTTCCTTTAAAAAAGACGAAATTAACAGAGCGGTTTTTAGGACAAATTATACGTCTTGACGTAACCTTTATTTATGTTTTATTACATATACGTAAAACACGTCCAAACTTGAATTCATTGAATAGATTTTAAAACAATTATCTCTTTATTGTAATACATCACGTATCGAATTCATAATGTTATTAGACACGTTTAGAAATGTTTCGTTGAACCCTGTGTCTAAAATTTAAATACATATATACATGTATATAAAATATTCGAGGTATCCATCTCGATTCTGAAACCGTATAGCTTGAGCTAAGATTTACTTACATTTTCGCTATGGCAAATGGCCTGTCTAAAAATTAGAGGTCTGTTCTGAGAGTCAAATATCTTGATTGCGAACATTATTTTTATGTGATGCAGCTTTCATTTTGTATGATTGAATTTACTATTTTTATCCATGTATACTTCCCCAAACATGAATGACACAAAAACAACACTGGGTTTTCCCCGCATACAATTTGAAAACATACTCTGACCGTAAATAGAACGTTCCAACTGCGGATATAAACCTAGTGAATCTCTGGAGGTTAATACTTATAAGCTGTTCTTCGCGGATTGCACGAGAAAAGGAAAATGCATGTCTAAGTCATATTGAGTGGATTCCGTAGGGAGTGGGAACAGAATAACTATATTGCACATCATAATCGCTTTTTTGCTGAATTTTTTTATATTAAATTCGGGAAAAAATGAACACACAGGAATACGATTGATATCACTCCAATTTTTCATCTAGGTATCTACAAAATGCACAACTAGTATGGTACGATCGTAACTAATGTGTGCCATCTTAATAAATGCCCCTTGATCTGAAATAATCGTATTTATGAATAAAAAGTACTAGCAGTCATAATGAATCAAACGCGTAATCATATAATAATAAATGCAAACAAAATAAATCTATGGATATCTTTCCAATCGAGTAAAATTTCCAGTTAATTTCGAGACCAATTATTGATGTGTCTCAGACGATGATAAAAAAGACGAAAGTAACAGAGCAGTTTCTAGGGCCAATCATGCAATCTTACGTCCTGACGTGATCTATATTCAGGGGCGGCGATCCCGAGGCGACACGTCCCCCCGGAAAATTTTAAAAAGTGCCCCCCATAAAAAAACAACAACAAACAAACAAACAAAAAACAAAAAATGTATAGTGAATACTGACTTAAGACTGAGACACACTTGTAGGCTCTGGAGGGCCCAACAGTGCAGCGTTTAGACTTTAAAAAAATGCAAAAATCTTCTCGCCTGGTCGCAACGCTTCCTCGCATAATAATTATTAATAATTATTAATAATATCCTTCAAAATATACAAGTAAATATTGTAGAAAATCTGTATTCCGTTTTTATACTATACTTTTGCTAAGGAATGTAATTTGTTAATACAACAAAACTTCAAGAACCTGTGAGGGGTAGTCTCTTCCGTCACCTTCGCCCCTCTCGTTCACTAGGCTCTCTCGTCCCTCTCATTTCACCCCCCCCCCCCCGTCATGAAAATAAATCAATGCCCCTGGGCTATACTTATATGTTTTACAGACTTTATGGCAGACATACACAGATGTAAAACACAACCGATCTTGAAACATTTAATGGACGAATACGAATTAGAAGAAAAAATATCTCTCAACGGTAATACATCACGTATCAAATTCATATTACCAGTTATTGGACTAACTTAGAAATACAAAATTTTATTTAAACAGGTACAACTAAAATGTTTCGTTGAACCCTGTGTCTAAAATTTAAAACTATATATACATGAATATAACACATTCGAAGTATCCATCTCGATTCTGAAACCGTATATAGCTTGGGCTAAGTTTGCTTACCTTTTAGAAGTGACCAATAGCCCGTTTCAAAAATAGACGTCTATCCACAAGAGTGAAATATCTCGATTGCGAACCTCATTTTTATGTGATGCAGCTTTCATTTTGTATGATTGAATTTACTATTTTTAATCCATGTATACTTCCCCAAATATGAATGACACAATAACAATCCGGTATGGGTTTTCCCCGCATACAATTTCAAAACATAGCCTGCACATCTTACCGAGTGGATTCGTAAGGAGTGGGAACAGTATAACTATATTGCACATCATAATCGCTTTTTTGCTGATTTTTTTAAATTTTGGACCTTCGATATTAAATTCGGGAAAAAATGAACACACAGGAATGCGATTGATATCACTCCAATTTTCAACTAGTATGGTACGATCGTAAGACAAACATGTGTGCCATTTCAAGTGACCCTTGATCTGAAATAATCGTTTTTATGAATAAAAGGTACTAGAAGTCATAATGACTCAAATATGTAATCCTAAAATAATAAATGCAAACAAACAAAATCTATGAATATCTTTCTAATCGAGTAAAATTTTCTATTATTTTTTGAGACCAATTATTGATGTCTCTCTGGCGATGATATCGTCAGAAAAAGGTGTCTTTTATTGTTTTCCTTTAAAAAAAAAAACCTTTAAAAGGGGCGAAATTAACAGAGCAGTTTCTAGGGCCAATGTGACGTCTTGACGTTATGACTGACATACACAAACGTTAGACATAACCTATCTTGAAACATTGAATAGACGAATACGAAATTGAAGAAAAAATATTTCTTAACTGTATCATGTATCGAATTCATATTGCAAGTTATGGCCCGGTCACACATAGACGACGCACGGCCGGCGCATTAAAAATTGGTAAAAGTCGTGAGCCCGACTTTTGTCAGGATTTGGGAGAAGCTAGCGAGCTGACACTGGATGCATAACGTGTTGCTAGCGCGCTGCGCGTATTTAGGGCGTGTGCTCCGCGTATGTCTGGCGTTGTTCTAGCGCGCTCCGTGCATGTCTGGCGTCCTTTTGGCGTGTACATTCATGCTCAAAAAATACCAACGCGTACAGCGAATGACGACGAATGCATAGCGTTGGTCCAGCGCGCTCGACGAAAGAGTAACGAATGCTGACGCACACCTAGCGAACGACAACGATTGAACTGACCAAAATTGCAAATTTCCAATGCGCTGGCCGTGCGTCCCCCATGTGTCCCCTATGTGTGACCGGGCCTTCAGTCACTAGACAGTTTTAGAGAAATTGTATTATAGAACTAAAATGTTTCGTTGAGCCCTGTGTCTAAAATTTATAAAAAAAAGTTTCCATCTCGATTCTGAAACCATATACCTTGAGCTAAAAGTTCTTACCTTTTCGAAATGACTAGTAGCCCGTTTCAAAATTAGACGTCTATCCACAGGAGTCAAATATCTCGATTGTGAACCTCAGTTAAATGTGATGCAGCTTTCATTTGTTTGATTAAATTTACTATTTTTATCCATGCTTACACCCCCACGTGAATGATACAATAGAAATACGGAGTGGGTTTTCCCTGCATACAAGTGAAACATACTCTGACCGTAAATGGAACGTTTCAACTGCTGATATTTCTTACGTGGTGAATCTCTAGAGATTTACACGTCCTTTGATAGAAGCTGTTCCTCGCGGATTGCACGAGAAAAGGAAAACATAGCCTGCACATGAAGTCATACCGAGTGGATTCCGTAGTGAGTGGGAACAGAATAAATGTATTGCACATCACAATCGCTTTGTTTATATGCTAGCTATGACTACGCAGTGCTCGACATCAAAACATCAGTTTACCATTATCATCTTTTCTCCCGTTTGATTAAACAATTATGTCACGCTCCATGACCTGCTAAAAGGGGGAAAATATCGTTACTGTAGTATCAGTGCATTAGTACATGTATCATTTCCCTCTCTCTCTCATCCTAATCCCATCTCTCTCTCCATCTCTTGTCATTCTTGATTTTTCTTAATATCTCCCCCTCTAGCTATCGTTTTTTTTGTTTGTTCATTCTCTCTTTATCTCTCTCTCTCTCTCTTAATATTTCTATCATTTACTTTTTTTTTAAAGGAAGGATCCAGGAATGTCTTGAAGTGGGGAGGCAGTGGATGCATCAACAGTTTTTCTCCGGGAACAGAATTTCAGTAATCCCGTGTCCCATGACTGAGGACGTTCACCCTCCCTCTGATTATATGGTTATGAAAAGCAGAGGGAAAGAGTAAACAGATTACAGATTTGTGCAAGATTATTCAAAATACAGGTAAATATAATTTACGCTAATAAAAAATAAACTTCAGAAAACTAATAAATATATAACAATTATTTAAAGGTACTATGTCCCTTTTGTAGCCAACCTCAAATTATGTAGAACTTTGCAGGAATTATGAATATGTATGTCCTCTCTGTGAAATTTAAACGTTAGCAGTGTCCTCATATTCAAATTATGCAAGGAAACCCGTTTACTTGCTAGACTTCACTGTCAGACACTATTGAGTGACTGACTTGCCTTTTTCTTCTTTGGTAATAACATGAAAAGAGTTGTAAAGCCAAGGGTACATGAGCATTTGTCTACATCAATAACCCACTTCTTGTGATGGCCCAGATTAAACTGATTGAATCTTTGCGCAGCATAAAACGTATGACCATTCGGTACAATGGTCTGAAAATCAAGACTATTACTTATTGGCTCTATAGCTCCTAAGTCGTTATTTTCCCACCTGAAGACATTTTCAAGCCCCACCTTTTTTAGGGAAGTTCTAAATTAGTATTATCTTTCAAATGCAGTTGGAATTTAACTTTTTCATTTTTTTTGGCCTGCAAATGGGACATAGTACCTTTAATATAATTTTTGTAAAACTACATTGGAATAATATATAAGGTAAAAACACAGTCTCTCTTAATTTAAATGTTATGTGAAATTATACCTTTCCGTGAAGCAACATTTTTTTTCAATTAGGAACAAGTTATCTTTTACAAATTCTCCACTTTGTAATGAATCTATTCCTCCACAGAAAATCAAGAGGACGTATACATACTGATGATCTTTCTGCACAAAACCAACAGAAAGTAGCTCATGAAGGAAAAAACGTAGAGTTGCCAATTTGTGTAGTGGAAAATGTGTTGTAGGAATCAGAGAATGGAGGATTGTTCTTTTTAATGAAATAAATTTCTGTTGCATTTATACAAATTAGACTGATAGGTACATATATATCAAACAAATTCCTAAATGGGCAGGAATTCATAGAGAAATTGATCTCTATTACAAAATGAGCAGAAATTCATAGAGAAATTGATCTACTTACAAAATAAGCAGGACATTATAGACAAATTGATGTCAATACAAAATGAGTAGAGATCATTAAATAAATTGATCTCCTCACAAAATGAGCAGGGATCAATAGAGAAATTGATCTCCTTACAATATTAACAGGAATTTATGGAGATATTTATCTTCTTACACAATGAGTAGGAATTTATAGAAAAATTGATCTCCTTACTAAATTAGCAAGTATTCATAGAGGAATTGACCTCCTTATAAAAAGAGCAGGAATTTATAGAGAAATTGATCTACTTACAAAATGAGAAGAAATTTGTAGAGAAATTGATTGTCTTGCACAACACACCCTGAAAAATGCCTGCAAGAGCAAAATATTTGCATCCATATTCCTCTCCCCAAAAAAGGGATTGATTTTTGTACTCTCTCTCTATGCACATTATACATGTAACATAAATAGAACTATGTTGTAAAAAAACACAGGTTACTAGGCATATTCCATGCAACAGAATTAAAATCTTAACTTAATGGTTTGCCAATATAATTTAAACATTTTTAAAAATATATTTTCTATAATTATATAGTTGGATTTAATTTTCTGGACCCTACTGGGCCCTGTCCGATTTTCTTTTCCTTTTCTTCTCGGACCCACTTCAAGAAATGATATCACTATTGTATATATGTATATCTCCCCCTTGGCCTTGGCTGCTAGAAGTGTGAGCAATAACATTATTCTTTTCAGTCTTCATCTTCTTCCTGCATTTGTCTCTTCCTATCCATTCTTCTGTCCTTCTTCTTTTTCTTTTTAGGTTTAACTTCTTCATCGCTTCCGACTTCCTTCTCTTTAGCATTATCATTATCACTATCTCCTGATCTATCTTTTCTCCTCTTTCTCTTAATATCTTTCTGTCCTCTTGGAGAACTCTGGCCCTTACCATCTCCCAATTCTACATCGTTTTCAATCTCTCCCTCCATCTCTACTCTCCTCTTTTCCTTCTTTGACTTCTTCTTCCTACTGGGTCCATCTGCATGAGCACCCCCATGTTGCATTTCATTCCTCTCAACAGTTTCCAAATCTTCTTCCATCATCTCAACATTTGTTCTTTCCTTGGTCTTCTTTCCCTTCTTTGATTTCTTCTTCCTAGACTTTGTGGCACTTATACTATCATCATCTTGCTTCAGTTCAACCTCAAAAGAGCTTGAGTCTTTGCTCGACCCTTCTTCATTGATACCATTTATATGTGTATCCTCTATAGTCCCTGAATTTGAGGTTTCTTCCTTGAAATTACTTTTCTTCTTTTTTTTACGCTGTTTCCTTCCTAGGGCATCGTCTTCTCCATCTTCTTCTTCTCTCACATCTAGCCTGTCCGTGACTTGACTTTCTGAAGAGTTCATCAATTCCTCACTTTTATTATCCTCTTTAGTCCTCCTCTTATGTTCCTTCCTTTTCTTGTTCTCCATCATGAGACCAGATTCATCTCTCTCCATCTCATCAACGGTTGGAGCTTCTTTTGTTCCCTTCCTCTCCATCTTCATCATGTTGTTATGGAGGTTATCCTGCTCCTCGAGTCGTTGTAGCTTCCCAGATAGAAGAAGACCATGTCTTGCACCCCTGTGAAAACAAGTAAGTATTGCATACACATTTAAAGCAAAATCAGATACACTCTTGTTTGTCATATCCACCAGTGCATACTTTTGTAAATCAGATCAAATGCACAAGTTATCGGTTATCACAGGAACATACTTTCATTAGTCTCTGCATCTTTTTTCATTATTTTTTCTTCAAGATCTCAGAGTGTACAATAATATATTATGTAAATTAAAAACTAATCAAGTGCAGTACATATATATTTGTAGAGCATCATGAAATCTAACCTTTTATTTATTAACAACAACAAAACCGAATTTCTCTTCTTTTATAATAATAATAATAATAATAATATTGGGTTCTTGTATAGCGCTCATATCTGTCAGACTTGACACTCCTGGCACTCCTGATTATTACCCTGGCTTTAGCATGGCTGCCATTACGGTGCTCTAGCATTAATGCAATGCTTAAAATCATAAAAATATGGTAGCTTCAAAATCCAGATAATATTGTGACAGGTCTAACCTCTCATGTTTATATTTTATTTGCAATGAAGACATACTCTGAATTATGACATAACTGAAAAATAAATATATAGAATTTCCCCTAAATAAACATTAGGTAAAAAACACATTATCATGGATAACAGTTTTGAGATTTCCGTTGAGCCACTTCAGAGATACTATCTGTGCATGGGCAGATAAAGGTCACATGCACAAAACTAAAAACCCAATCAAGACGACTGATGGATAAGCATGTTCATGAAAGTTATTCAATCATTTTTTCATTTATGCACCGGCTGTACATTCTATGATACACAGGTAAAGTATTCTTCCCAAGAGGTTGAACACAAGGTATTCATGAAGCACCTCCATCACTTTGGCAGTGATTATTCTAAAAAATGCACAAAGTGGGACGGCTTCATGAGTAAAAGTTCTGTGGATATCTGGGGGTTATTTGTGCAAGTGCTATCTCAAAAGTGGCTTATAAATGCAAATAAACTCCATAATAAGTCATCTTGTTTACTTGTGTGCTGTACGACCTCCACAAGCCTTGAAGAGCATCTCATCATTGCCTTCATATGTTGCTAGGGGTTTATCATCATCACTCTCATCACTGGAGGATGAGGATGAGGATGCTTCCTTGTCTTGAGAGATTGCTCCATCAGTGAGAGTTCCATGCTGAAATATAAAACAGAAATATTTTCTTTCTTTCTTTCTTTCTTTCTTTCTTTCTTTCTATCTTCCTTCCCATTCTACATCAATGGTCCTGGATCACACTTTCAGAATGCGGGAAGAAAGACAACACAAAAAGACAGATAACTGATTAGAAAGGGGAGAGAAGAAGTGGAAGAGATGGAGAAAAGGAAGGGAGAAAAAAGGGAGGGAGAGAAGAAGGGGAGACAAGAAGGGAAAAGCCTGTCACATGAAAAAGTGATGAAAGGAGACTGAGCTGGGATAATCTAGCTGGGAGTTGAACAAGGTGGAAAATGACTGTTCCTGCCCAATGCTCCTCAGGGAACTGGAGGAACACATTTTTCAATTTTCTTATCATATTGAGGGCATAATTTAATCATCCTTGTAATATATTACATGTGAGATTAATGATGCCATAATTCCTTGACATAATCTAAACCTCATGGACAATGTTTGAATAAACATTTCACTTACCTTCACAAATGAGCCATAAATAAGGGGTTTCTTCTTATCCTTTTTTTCATGTGTGCTTCTCTTGTTGGAGATGAGATTCTTTTTGGTTCCTTTCTGTTTGACCTTGACACCCTCCTAACAAGACAATGGAGAAGAAATAGATCAGTTATAACAGACTCAAAACAAAATGGATATAATCAAACTTTTCTTTAAAAGCCACCTCTCTCTAAAGACCATACATGCCTTTAAAGGGATCGTTTAACAATGTTAAATCTGAGATACACGGCCCTACGTGTTATCAGTGTCTGTGATATGGTGTAATATTGAAGCCCTAAAAAAATTGCGCTTCAAAATGATCAAGAAGTGCCTCAAAAAAGTAAAAATCTTGGAGTGACCGGTTTTACCATACTCGTTTTCCCCAATAGACTGTAGTGTTATGAAAACCGTCAGGCGAACGGTTTTCAAAATTTGTTATTCCAATCATAAATATCTTGATAATCAGACAGGCGATCGGCTTGTAAAAGTCATGGGGTTCCTGACTGACCTAAAGGTTTATAATTATCATTGCATCATGAGCTAAATCCAGAATTTTGTTTCAGAATCTGAGACAAAGTTACCGGATCCCTTTAATGCTTGCTTCTACAAAGAAATATGTGTTTCAGAACCTGTGCAGACTGGCCAACTGATTACAGTGGATACTTGGTCATGTTTTTTTTTTTTTGTGTAAAATATTAGTAGTAGGCAGGATTCCCTGTGCAATATATTAAATTTTACAATCTTATCTCATATAATTTTTATGCAAGAAGCATATAAATACAACTACACTTGTCAAAGAGCATTTTAACCTCATTTCCCCATGATGGTACAAATTATGTTTAAAACATGGTCATGGAAAACATGACAAATTTGGAATAGGGAGCATAAATCTTCGCATTGCTAAAGGTCTTTAAATTTTGAATTTGTACAGTCTTACCAGCAAATCACTAATGGAATCTGTTTTCCCTTTTTGAATATATTTCTTTTTTTAAATAAGATTTTTTTTTTAAATAAGACATAGTAGGTGTCTAAATGTTTTACAGGAGTGTTATATTGTCCAGTATTATAGCAAAATAATACCAAAAGAATATCTACCTCGGTGTTTTCGATGTGGATGTTCTTTGCCGCCTTGTTGAAGACATGGTCCCACCAATGGAAAGAGAACTGTTCTCCTACATCATGACCAATCTGATAGAAGAACAAGAATCACATCAATGAATACAAGACAAAACTGAACGGCACAGCCCAGGCAACAGGACTGGTGTTGTTTTGGTGAAGTGATTACAATCACATATAATTGAAATTAAATCTTGCATTTTATTATTTATTCGAAACATTTCTTTTCCAACTGCTATTGCTTCAAACTGCTCACAACAGGACCCATATAGAAGATGATTAAAGAATCATACACTACAATGGACCAACCAATATAGACCAACCTACTTGCTAAGTACTGCATCTAACTACATGTCTCATGTCTTGATTAACCTATTGCATATGGGAATCAGACGGTTCCTGTATAAAGCCTAGAAGAATTAGATAATTCAGTAGTCAATGAGTTTAATAACAAGCTTTGAATGAAGGTGACTTCATTGCAGATGAGAGTAATCAAGGGCAAGACTTCAAAATTGCACATCTAATACCAACATTGACCAAGGTCTTGCTTGAAGCAGATGTGTAAACAAAAATGTAAGGTCCTTGTACTTTCTGTGGTCCCAGTGAACCTTCAGACAAAACCACTCACCCCTGCTTTGTCAAACTTTAGCTTTGGTTTGAGTGCATCTGTCATTCCCGTCTCCGTCCGCCCAAGTCCTTTACCTGAATTAAAATGAAAAAATATGATGATTGATGTTTATAGCGTGTGTGTGGTTAATGTTACAGTATGGTCTTTTATCTACTTTTATTTGTTTATTCATGTTTTCATTCATTTATTTATTCAAAAATATTTATTGCAGATAAAACATGATCAGCAAATATATGAATATGATAAGTGGACGAGAGAAAAGTAATGATGATGTCTCAGCCGATATTGACCGTGATATGATTAATGATTACTTTGTACATTTACATGTAGATAAAATTTAGATTAAAAAAAATCATTGATTCTTGTGAGCAACTGAGCATGGTGACATTGCCTTCAACCATCATATTTGAAATATGTGAGACCAATGTTCAAACGTGCAGAAGAATATGATGATGATCAACCCTTCTTCATCCAGACTAACAATTTTCTGTTGACAAAACCTTCTCTGGAACTTCAGAAAAGCTGAGTCAGATGTGGGCATGATGGCACCATCATTACTAGAGCTATAAAGAAGACGGTGGCAACAATGGCCCGTGACCGTCTGTCGAATGATCAACGTTCCCAGGTTGCTGCTTACATGAACCACTCATTGAAGACTGCAGATACTTATTATGCAGCTTGATGGAAAACGGAGCAAACTGTACAAGCTCATAATTTGATGAGATTCCTACTGTTAGATGAGGCACTTCCCTGTCAACTAAATGAGGAGGAAGAGCTAAGAAAAGACATGGCAGAAGAAGAGTTCAATGAGGACGAATCAACTGCGAAGGAAATGTAGATGGCAATACATGTCCAAGAGATAAGGGAAAGCCATCCTCGAAACCAGAGAAAACAAGGCATTCAAAGTCCAAGTAAAAAAAGCAGTAAAGAGAAAATTCATTTTTACCCCAGAAGATGAGTATGAATTAACCACCAAAGTCAGAGAAAGCATAGGTAAGCCATATTTGTAGCAGGAAGAACTAGATGGAATTTTGACTGCGCGCAGTCGAAAATGATGCCTCCGCCATAGAGCAATTTAAACAAGTTTGGAGTTTAAATCTCCAGTGGTTCTTGAGATATCATGATAACAATCTCAATGTATGGAATTTCATAAGTTGACCTCTGTGACCCTTGACCTTTGACCTACGTGCTCCAAAATCTAATCAGATTGTCTTCCTATGGTGATACACACTATCATTAAGTTTGAAGTGAAAATTCTCCAGTGGTTCTTGAGATATCGCGATAACGATCTCAATGTATGGAATTTCATAAGTTGACCTCTGTGACCCTTGACCTTTGACCTACGTGCTCCAAAATCTAATCAGATTGTCTTCCTATGGTGATACACACTATCATTAAGTTTGAAGTTTAAATCTCCAGTGGTTCTTGAGATATTATGATAACAATCTCAATGTATGGAATTTCATAAGTTGACCTCTGTGACCCTTGACCTTTGACCTACGTGCTCCAAAATCTAATCAGATCGTCTTCCTATGGTGATACATACTATCCTTAAGTTTGAAGTTTTTACATCTCCAGTGGTTCTTGAGATATCATGATAACAATCTCAATGTATGGAATTTCATAAGTTGACCTCTATGACCCTTGACCTTTGACCTACGTGCTCCAAAATCTAATCAGATCGTCTTCCTATGGTGATACATACTATCCTTAAGTTTGAAGTTTAAATCTCAAATGGTTCTTGAGATATCGCGCTAACAAACTCAATACAAGGAATTTCATAAGTTGACCTCTGTGACCTGTGACCTTTGACCTACGTACCTAAACGTAAAAAGGCCAGACTTTGTGTGGTTACAGACAGGGCATATGGTATGACCAGCCCAGACCGAGGACCGAGGACAAGTCAGGTTCCACCTGATGTTGCCCATTCCCAGGCGTTTTTTAAATATTTTCGCTCTGTTTTACTGTGATGTATTACGTTGAGTTACCGTATATTGATATATTATAATCTGGCCTGGAATTACGCTACACCAGATTTTATAGATTATATATTTTTTGATCGCCTAATAGGCGCCCTTAACGTTCCGACAGGCAACGTAGCAGGAGTATTAGTAGGAAGCAACCTTTCTGTTGGTATAACTGGAAACATGGTGCAGGAGCTCTCAAGTGTACATCACTCTGTAGCTTTAACCACGTTTCTTTGATTTCCAGCGATTCTCAACAGTCTTACGCCACCAATGCCCAGGGAAATGACACAACCAGTCGGGAATAAGGGCGACAACTCGTGTTGGTGCTAAGAACGGTCGCTTATTCTACATTCACGACTGGATCAGTGGTATTAAATTTTTAGTTGATACTAACTGGTGCTGAAGTGAACGTAATGTGACAACCAAAGGCATGCACGTTTGGAGATAACATTGGCAGAGGTTAACAAGTCTCGCATACCTACATATGGTGCATGTTTCCTCACTTTGGACTTAGGCCTCAGATACTCTTTTTGTTTTGTTTTTGTGGTTGCAGATCTTCCTACACCCGTCATTGGGGCAGATTTCTTGGATGAATTTGGACTCATTGTGGATGTTAGACATCAGAGACTTCTTGATTCCACAGTCAATGGCATCCATGCTCCACTACACACGCAATCTGTCGGCCCTATGTTTTCACGATCGCCAGGTTCAGGCAGTGATAAGTATGCCGCCATCTTGTGGGAGTTTTCAGATATCACTCGTCCTGATTTTCACCCCAAAGCCGTCAAGCATACTGTTACACACCATATCGTAACAACAGGACCTCCAGTTTACTCACGTTTCCGTCGTTTAGCTGTCGTTGATCGTTTGAAAATATTGGATGCTTGTCATTATTTTGTTGATATTTTGTGCGAATTTAGAGTAAGTGATTGTGAATGTGGGCTGGAATATTTTTCATGTTTGCATTTTTCTGTCTTTTTTGAAGAAAAAAAGAAAAAGAGAAGAAGGAGTAGTTGAGTTTAGTGTACTCGCGAAGTTATGGATTGTTATATCGGATTGTAATATCGGAGTGTAACTCAATTTAACTCAGTGTGCATTAGACTCGGTCACTGGACGGTAACCTTGAGTTTAGTGTACCTGTACTCACAAATTATGGATTGTAATATCGGAGTGTAATGCAACTCAATTTTTATTTCTGCCTGATTCCCTGGTACTGACTTGGATATCAGGTTTCCCTTGTTCTTTTCTTATGCTCTAATATGAGACTTTTTAGAAATTTTGCAATATCTGTGATATATCCCACAATCTAAGGAACCGGGTGGAATGTTGTAAAAGGGCATTTAATATGCCAACAAATTCCCTCCTTATACCCTTGGCTAATAGTAATAGGCCTAGGTAACATCCGTGGATGCGTAAGTACATATGTGTGAGTGTGACCAGGCCAAGTGATATCACACCGTACTATATACACTACGAATGCGCATCTTGGATGAGGGCGTAAGGCAATCCGGTATATCCAGCGACATCAGGTGTCATTCTGGAACTTCAGCTGTCGTTGTATGTGTATTATCAGCATTCAGATCCAGGGTTTGAGCAAGCTAGCTATACCAAGCTATCCTGTCTATGCTGTAGTGAATTAAGGTAAGTGAACAATATCATTTCATCCCATTGTTTGCACTTGTGTTTGTCATGAAACGTAAGTCCTCCACCAAGTTAAACGGTGATTTCTATTTCCGCCATCATTCATCTACCATCTATTTTATGTTTACTTATACTAATATTAGGTACCGTGTTACTTCAAAGATGAGAAAATTGACACAAAACGGGTAAGAACAATTGATAAAGATTTTATTGATTTTTGGTATGTTTTAGTAGGATCTCCACGCCGTAGTTGCGGCTCCAAGTCTGAATATGATTCTAAACTAGCGCTGCATGAAGAACATTAGCTTACATTTAGTGCATGCGCAGATCGCTCATCGGATCTCAGCCTCATTTTCATAAGTTGGCGCCTAGCCTAGCTTACATAGGCCCTTCAGATTGGCTATTGCTGTTCTCTGTTCACTCAATACCATAAGATATTTGTGCCAGGAGCAAGCTTGCGATTTAACTTTTTTTTTATACCAAAGATATGATATTTCAGTCAAACCCTCTAGGCCTTATTTGTTATGATTTTTTCACTTAAGCATTTCACTTAGGTTTAAGTTTCACTTAACTATTTTTTAAGTTTGAACGATTCTCATTTTTGTCATATTTAAGGTACAAACAGGAAATTATTCTGAGATGTTCGCTGATTTTTCTATTTTATTTGTGTGCAATGCTGTCTGTGCGTCACCTACATGTATGTGTGAAGTGCGTCACCTGTTTAAAGCAGGACGTGACAAAATCTCTGTGGTGTGACGTAATATTACGTAGGTCTATTGACTTTGCCATTGAACTTAAGTTGTGCTAAGTTGCGCTAAAGTAGAGTAATTCCTCTCGCACTTAAATTTGATGCCGCTCGAGCAGATCGGCCAATGAGAGCGTGTAAACACGATGTACAGCGCTCAATGTGTTCTTCGTGCGCTGAAGAAATAGCAGCAGTAAAAAAAAAATTCACACAAAATACCAATAACACTCAGAACTTGCCATGTCTCAAAACAAGTTTCAATCACGCATAAAACTTTATTTAAATATGAATAAAAATAGAAAAACACATCACAAGCATCCTACACACAGACCTACAGGGAAACTACTCATCTACATTAAAATTGACCAACATATTTATGCGAGTCGACTACAGTACACAGGAATAGGTGAGTGGGACTGAAATTAAAAATGTCTCTGGATTACCATGATTTACATAGAAAATAAGACTGATGTAGACAATCATTTTTGCACACAACAGTACTAATCAAGCATACCTTCCTCCCAGCCATACTTCTCTAGATGATTCCTTGCAAAAGATCCTTCTGACATTGTATAAAATGGAGCAATTATGTGAGACAACTTTGTCTCACGTGTGTCGCCAGATGGTAGCATATATTGGCACCAAGATTAACGGCGATATGAATATTCATTATTCCCTACGTCACAGACGTGCGGCGTGTATGACGGGCGGATTGCGCCATAAAGATGACAACTATACAACTATACATCCATCGAATGGATGTAAGGTTTTAACCAATCAGAACGCAGGAAACTGTACAACTATACAACTATACAACTATACGACTATGCAACCATACAGCTATAGAACGTATGTAAGGTTGTTACGTTTGCGGGCCGAAATGCCATAATTGCAAACAACCATACATCCATTCAGCTTTATGGTTGTACGGTTTCAACCAATCACAATGCAGGAAACTATACAGCCATGGCGGCGAGAATGTCTGTATAGTTTTATGCCTGTATGGTTTTAACCAATCATAATGCAGGAAACTATACAGCCATGGCGGCGAGAATGTCTGTATAGTTTTATGGCTGTACGGTTTTATCCAATCACAATGCAGGAAACTATACAGCCATGGCGGCGAGAATGTCTGTATAGTTTTATGGCTGTACGGTTTTATCCAATCACAATGCAGGAAACTATACAGCCATGGCGGCGGAAATGTCTGTATAGTTTTATGGCTGTACGGTTTTAACCAATCATAATGCAGGAAACTATACAGCCATGGCGGTGAGAATGTCTGAATTTAGCCGACACTTATGCCTCTAAAGCCATTGAATGCTGAACATAGCAAAGCAATGATGGAATAAATAAAAATAAAAATTGATCTTATAGGCCTACTAGTACTAAATAATATTGGATCTAGTGGTAGATTTACTAGTAGTCGACCAGAACTAGATCTAGACTAGGTGATAGCTAGGTCTAGTACTAGTACTAGTACTAGGCCTAGATCTAGTGCTTAATTAGTACTGCTACTACTAGGTCTAGCCTAGTACTATTCTATTTAATTTAGTGGACTATTACTATACATAGACCTAGACCTACTAGTAAATAGTAGATCTAGACTATTATTAGACTAGACCTAGATCTACTCTAGTAGACTAGATCTAGGTCTATTATAGTTAGTAGACTATAGGTCTATAGTTACTCCTATTTAGATCTACTAATACTAGACTAGGTCTAGATCTAGATCTAATTTCCTAAATCGGCAACTGTAGATCTAGACCCCCGGGTCTAGACCTAGGTCTATTTAGATCTAGTCTAGGGTATATAGGGTCTAGATCTTTCTCTAAGCAACAGACCCATCGGCAAATGTATATATAGACTACAACATGATTATTCCTAATGACGTGGAGGACCTACATTGTTATCAACTACACGAATAAATTAAATTAATTAATTTGTACCTTTCCTAACCGAACATTAAACTTTGGTGGACATTTGCAGTTGGACCTGGATGAATTTATATGAATGGGACTGAAATGCATGAACTGGTGCAATTCGTCCATCTTTTTCCAAGTTGGGGAGTAATATTTGTATGTTTATTTAGAATATCGTTCGGTTAAACAACAAATTCTTTGCCTTAATTGCATAAGTTTAGCGATGCATGGCTAGTCTATATAATTTCCTGCATTGTGATCAAAACCGTATAGCCATAAAACTATACAGACATTCTCGCCGCCATGGCTGTATAGTTTCCTGCATTGTGATGGGATAAAACCGTACAGCCATAAAACTATACAGACATTCTCGCCGCCATGTCTGTATAGTTTTCTGCATTATGATTGGTTAAAACCGTACAGGCATAAAACTATACAGACATTTCCGCCGCCATGGCTGTATAGTTTCCTGCATTGTGATTGGATAAAACCGTACAACCATAAAGCTGAATGGATGTATGGTTGTTTGCAATTATGGCATTTCGGCCCGCAAACGTAACAACCTTACATACGTTCTATAGCTGTATGGTTGCATAGTCGTATAGTTGTATAGTTGTATAGTTGTACAGTTTCCTGCGTTCTGATTGGTTAAAACCCTACATCCATTCGATGGATGTATAGTTGTATAGTTGTCATCTTTATGGCGCGATCCGCCCGTCATAGGCGTGCGTACTCTGTCATATACACATGTATTCAGTACATGAGTACGTTCGTAAGCATTAGGTCATGTACATTGCTCCGGAATGAAGAGAATCGTTATAGAGGACGAATTACTCCGTGAAGCAAAGTACAAGCAGGGAATTGAAAATAGCAAACGTTCCTCGGAGCGGCTATACACTCCCTAATCTAGCTAGTTTTGTAATGATAGTTTATTTAGGATAATGGACATTTAGTAGGCCTATTGTTTAGTTGTTAAATAACATCACTCAGTGTGATTTGATTCGAGATATATCTCATTAATAAAACAGTATAAAGGCTGTATGTGTCTCGAACGAACCATATCGCCACTAATCTTGGTGCCAACACCGTTAATCTATGCTCCAAATTTAGTAATACATTTTGTGTGCCCTATAATGACCCGGGGTTGGATTATTTAGGAGAACAGAAGATTGATATTGTTAAGTTGTTTCATAACATCACTCAGTTTGATTTGATTCGAGATATATCTCATTAATAAAACAGTATAAAGGCTGTATGAGTCTCGGACGAACCATCGCCACTAATCTTGGTGCCAACACCGTTAATCTATGCTCCAAATTTAGTAATACATTTTGTGTGCCCTATGAAAGACCCGGGGTTGAATTATCTGGGAGAACGGAAGATTGATATTGTTAAGTTGTTCCATAAAATCATTCAGTTTCATTTGATTCGAGATATATCTCATTAATAAAACAGTATAAAGGCTGTATGAGTCTCACACGAACGATCTCCACTAATCTTGGTGCCAACACCGTTAATCTATGCTCCAAATTTAGTAATACATTTTGTGTGCCCTATAATGACCCGGGGTTGGATTATTTAGGAGAACAGAAGATTGATATTGTTAAGTTGTTTCATAACATCACTCAGTTTGATTTGATTCGAGATATATCTCATTAATAAAACAGTATAAAGGCTGTATGAGTCTCACACGAACGATCGCCACTAATCTTGGTGCCAACACCGTTAATCTATGCTCCAAATTTAGTAATACATTTTGTGTGCCCTATAATGACCCGGGGTTGGATTATTTAGGAGAACAGAAGATTGATATTGTTAAGTTGTTTCATAACATCTCTCAGTTTGATTTGATTCGAGATATATTTCATTAATAAAACAGTATAAAGGCTCTATGAGTCTCCAAGAACGATCGCCACTAATCTTGGTGCCAACACCGTTAAACTATGCTCCAAATTTAGTAATACATGTTATGTGCCCTGTAAAGACCCAGGGTTGGATTATTTAGGAGAATGGAAGATTGATATTGTTAAGTTGTTTCATAACATCACTCAGTTTGATTTGATTCGAGATATATCTCATTAATAAAACAGTATAAAGGCTGTATGAGTCTCGGACGAACCATCGCCACTAATCTTGGTGCCAACACCGTTAATCTATGCTCCAAATTTAGTAATACATTTTGTGTGCCCTATAATGACCCGGGGTTGGATTGTGTAGGAGAACGGATGATTGATATTGTAAAGTTGTTCCATAACATCACTCAGTTCGATTTAATTAGAGATATACCTCATTAATAAAATATATATATATATATAAAAGCTATAGTCTCAAACTAACTTACCTGTACACCATTAAACTTGGTGCCAACACCATTAAACCATGCTCCAAATTTAGTAATACGTTTTGTGTGTCTGCAAAGACCCGGGGTTGGATTATTTAGGAGAACGGAAGATTCCTATATTGTTAAGTTGCTCTATAACACAGGCGCCCCCCCCCCCCGGCAAAAATAAAGAGAGAGAGAGAGAGAGAGAGAGAGAGAGAAAAGGAAAAGAAGGACAGGGAAAGAGGAGAGAAAGGGAAAGAAAGAAGAGGAAGAAGACAAGAAAAGGGGGAAGAAGGAGATTGGGGGGACCGAAATGGCCTTGCCTTCCAGGCTGTTGCCTCCCCGCCCCCCCCCCCAATCAAAAAAAAATATGAGCGAAGGAAGGAAAGGGAAGGGAAGAAAGGAAAAGAGGAGATAAAGGGAAGGGAAATAAAAGAGGAAGAAGAAAAGAAAAGAAGGAGGATATCAGTTTTCCTGCCAATAAGTTGTGGTTCGGGGGGGGGGTTATTTCTAATTCCATAACGGTGACTTACAAATGTTGCTAAAATGACATCATTTTCCGAGATTGTTCCTCACTTTTTATTAAATAATACTTTTTTATGCGTTTGTTGGAAAATGACATATTCCGAAATTTACAGTCAGGCAAGAAAAATATGCTTATTGAGATGCCTACATGTCGGGGCCCGCGGAACGGTCGGGATCGGGAGCCTCGAGCTCCCTCGCCCTCCCCCTCTTTTTTGAAAAAGTATATTAAAGAGAGCAAGAAATAAAGAATAGTGAACTGCCAGTGTCACAGAAAAAAACGAGGTATCAAAATATGCTCATCTGACCGTGATTAAATGCCTAAACCCCCCGAACTTTCGGGGTCTCTACCCTCTGGATTCCACCTAGGGCCCAAAGGTCGGCCCTTAAATGCTCATCTGACGGTAATTTAATGCCTAAAACCCCTGGAATTCTTGGGGCTTCGCCCCCTTTACCCCAAGCCAAATAGTGTCCTGCAAATGTCACAAAACAATAAGGTATCAAACATTGCTAACGTGACCGTAATAAAACGCCTAAAACCCCTGAGCCTCCGGGGGCTCTGCCCCTGAACCAAACCAAGGGCCCTAAGGCGGGCCCCTGAATGCTTATCTGACGGTAATTAAACACCTAAAACCCCTGAGCTTCCGAGGGCTCTGCCCCTAGACCCAACCAAGGGCCTTAAGGCGGGCCCCTTGATACTCATTTAATTTAATGCCTAAAACCCTTGAGCTTCCGGGGGCCTCGCCCCCTGAACTCCACGACAATTGGTGATCTGCCAGTGTCACAATAAGTCCCCCCCCCCCCCCCCAAGAACAAAGAGAGGAGAAAAGGGAAGAGGTCATAGGAAGAAA